GATGGTGATGCTTTGTTGCAAGGCTGGGTGGGCCCTTAGCTCCAGCCCTCCCAGTTCCCGTCCATCCTCGTAGGGTAGGTAAGGGGTTGATGCACAGCCCTGGGAGCTGGGCTGTTTCCAGGGCTCCTGGTGGGCTGTCCTGCAAACCTGCCAATGCCCTGGCCTGGCTGTCAAGTGGGATTAAAGCTGCTCATTTTCCTTGGGAGAGAAATGGATGGTAATAGTTACCTGTCTCTCCGATGTGAAGGGCGTCTTTGACATCGGTGCTTTGACATCTCGGTGGAGGTGGCTGAGACAGCCCTGCTGGGAGGCTCTCTGTGGGGCATGGGATGGGCCAGCACCTCTCTGCAGCAATGCCGGAGAGGGAATAAATCTCACACAAGAGGCTGGTGTTACTTTTACCCCCATATTATGAAGAAGTCCAGCTCCGGTGCTATTTTTCCCCTGGGCCTGTGTGCCCGGCCACGTGCAATTGCTGCGAGGGTCGGTATCTTCCCTGCGGAGCTGAAATGTGTGACAAGCCCCGTTGCCCTCCTGGCTCTGCAGCTAGCCGAGCGGCTGAAGCTCTCCGACCCTCTGCTCCTGGAGATGCCAGAGCAGGACCAGACGCTGGAGCCCACCTGGCTGGTACAGCTCCGAGCCTGCTGCCGGGAGTGGGAGGTAAGGAGGAGCAGGGATGCTGTGGGGCAGCCTGTCTGTGTTGTGGTTTGTCTGCAGGACCATCCTCCTCCTCTGCCCTTGAATCCGAGGGGATGGGTATGGCGGTTCGAGGGCTGCGGTTACCCAGGTGCCTTTCCCCGTGGATCGTGAGCTCAGAGATGTGGTCTCTGCTGTGGGACCTGCAGCTTCAGCGGGAGCAGGAGGGGTTGCAGCGCCCGAGGGTGTAAGCAGTGAGGGCTGTAGAGCTTCGCACGGGGCAAAAAGCTCCTCGTCTTGGCTCAAGGAGGGCTGTCGGGCTGGTGGGTGAATGATGATCCCCTCTTGCAGTGAGGGTGTTGCAGAGGATGCTGGCGGAGCATCACCTTGCAGATGTGTGCTATCGAGTCCCTTAACTATGTTCTGGTCCTTGGAATAATGCTCTTTGTTCAGTTTTCGTGTCTTCTTTTGGTTTTGTGCCCTTCTATGTCTCCAGTTTCCCCTCCTGCCTGCTCTCAGCAGGACAGGGGTGCTGCAGCCCCCTTCACTTGCTGGGAAAGAGCTGTGACCCTGCTGGTGTGGGTCTCACCTGTAACCTGGGCTCCTGCAGCCTGGGGTGGGGCAGGAGCCCCAGACCTACCAGCACCATGTTTTTCTTTACATCGGCTTCGTGGTTTCCTTAGTCTCTCCCCTCTGCCATCCCCTTTTCCATCTGTTTTATCACGTTTTTCCCTCTGACTCCTTGCAGGTGGAAGATGACCTCCCTCCGGAGGTGGCACCAGCTCAGCCAAGGCTCTCCTGGGCTGCTGCATCGTCGGCAGGTAAAGAAAACGGAGCAGCAGGTTGCAATCGCTGCAGCGGGTTTCTCCGCAGGTGGAGTTGTGCTGCCGTGGGCTGGGGAGCAGGAGCATTTCTCAGCAGCTGCTCCTTACATCCCCCCTAAAGCTCAACATTTTGCTCCCACCTGGATGCATCCCTCTGGCGTGGAGCTGCCAGGGATGGGCTGCAAAGCGAGGGGTCGATGCTCATGCCCTCCGTACGAAGTCTGAGTAGTTGGGCATAATTACCGCAGCTTTGGGAGTCCCTGTGGGTGCTGTGGGAGGAGAAGGGCGACCGGGGGCGGGCGGCTGAACCAAGCACGTGCCTCCCGGCGGAGACGATCCCATTCCCGGGCAGTCTTTTGAGGATGCAAATTGGAGCTGAACTAAGGGGATTTCACACTTGCAGAGCGAAAGATTTGGGAAGGATCTCATCTCGCTGCGTGCCGGGCTGCAGCATCCCTTTTGGTGAAGCCCCAGTGTTTCCCCTTCCCTGCTGCCTCTTTTATCCTTTTGCTTTGCTTCTTGGTGACCCCAAGAGTCCCCTCCAGTGACATCCAGAGGGTCAAGCAACATCATGATGAGGGACATGAACCTCCCCGGGTGGCTGTCAAGGGAAGGGCTGGAGAGCTTTCCTTTCCTAGCTGGGCAGCGTGTCCATCGGGATGTCCCATCGAGGAGAAGTCAGGGGCTGGTGACCCATCGGTGTTGCTTGACAGCCATCTCCACCAGCAGGATGCCCCGGCAAATCCCGCGCCTCCTTGCTGCTGCTCAGATCTAGCGTTCTGCTGGGAACGCCGGCACTGATGGGTGGAGAATAAAGGCTGGTCCAGACAGGATAAAACATGACAAATTCCTCCAAG